TGAATTACGCAAATCGCATCGATCTTTGACTGTCTCCTCAAAGACAATACACTTTCCCATCCTCTGGTTCTCTGCCACTGCTATGCGTTTGGTAACTTTTGCAACTGTTTTGACCCACAGAAGGATCTGAGGGTGTTTTTTTTCGCCTCAGCCGGAAATACGAAAGCATCCAAGTAACATCACTAACATGGAATACCCACACTGATAATCAGTGACATTTTTGTCAGTGCTGCATTCAAGCAATCTGGCGGGTAGGAGGCTATACTGATGATTCCCACTCCTGCCCGCATGCACTGTTCGGTCTGTGTATACAGCTAAAGGATGAAACACAGACTGCGTCATAAAATGTCTTCAAACACACGACATTCAAGTGAAATTCTTCCATTCTTCTATGTCATCTACCCAGTGCCAATGTTTGGTTCTCAGTGCGCGAGAAAAGTAATTGAATAATCATCGAGAATGGTGTAGCAATCTTCAGTTTTACTGTTACGACTAATTCACAGGGCATAGCTCTGCTCTTTCCCCTTTTTTCGCTGCTTTAAGGTCAAAATCAGAATCTCGCCCGTATTTGTCCTCTGTGAAAGGTGGAGGCGCTCGGAAAGTAGCCCGAATGCTATATAGCAAAATCTAACAATCGATCATTTACCGACAAGATTGTCGATGGATGCCTGTTCTGAGAGTTACGTACAAGTAAGTTGGTGACGGGTTTGACTCCTTGGCATGTACTAGTACCAATAATTTGCCACTGCAATGAATGCAAGAGGGAAAATGGTTGTTTTGTCCACTGGCGGATGGAACTCTCGAAAAACTAGAGCGAAGCCCGCTAGCGCTCATCGGCGGACCTGACTCTTCGCCCTCCCCTCTCCCCCCTCCTGCCCCTCACCCCGAACGACACAGGCACCAGTGCTGCAAAAACCCGGGCATAAGACTAAAATTAAAGTCAAACTAAAGCCTAAAGTAACTCTGAAATAAAGTGGCGGTGTTACAACTCTATTCCTAGTTTCTGCATAGTTCCAGAGTGGGAGGGACTCTCTTCCTGAGTCCCCATCGCCCTCCCAGGAGTCCCTCACCCCGCGTCGCCCAATCTCCCCTCACCCCTCCCCAGGAGTCCGTCCTGGATCCGCCCATATCGGCGCCTCAAGACTCGTCTCTGTTTGGTACCCGCATCATCTCATTGTTTTAGGCCCTTGACAATGTGGTGATTTCCATTATCGTGCGCTGGTCGCTCACTGATATGCGATATATGTCGGCTATCAGCAGCGGGGCGAGCGACTGTTCCATGCAGTGAAATCCCGCTTGCCCCGATAGTCACAGCGGTATCCTGCGTGGTACTCATCTGACGCAGCAAATGAAATAGAAGAATAGAAGGATTTCACTGGAATGTCATGTGTCCACGAAGATATTTTATCACGCAGTCTCTGTGTGTTTCATCCCTTAGCTGTATACACAGACCGAACTATGCATGCGGATAGGAGCGAAAATCAACGGTACAGCCTCCCACCCGCGAAGTTGATTTTATGGCTTTTGCAGGTTCCGATTGCATTTGGTGGCTCGCTGAGCTGGCTGGAGCTCAGTATCATTGAGTATGACACTGTAGCGCTTATACTTTCACCAGTGCTGGCCGTTTTACAGGGCATTCAAGTGCTTCAGATCAAGAAATGCTACCAACGCCTGAACGTTAATCAGCCCGAAATATTCATGCTTTATTTCACGGGTAAGCAAGCTTTTCCAGCCCCTTTGAGATCTGCTAGAAACACGCTGATGTGCTGCCCCACATTGTTGAAAACGAGCGTTTTCGGTGATATTCAACACGCTTCAGGGGCATCTCTAAAAGGTTAAAGCCCTGCAAAATGTTTCTATCGGGAGAACTGCTAAGTTGGTATGTAACGATCGGAGGAGGGTCTGCGCGACCGTAAGAGGTGCAGCTGTGGGAAGAGGGGGCACTCACCTAGATTAATAAAAAAAAAACTTTATTAAAACAACCACAAAGAAGAAACTCACAAAGCGACCACAAAAAAAAACTAAGCTTAAAACAACCACAAAAAAACTCAACTCCAAGCTGCCGCCGCACAATTCTTGTGACACAAAAAACAATCACTATTCCATTTTTAATCAAAACATAACATATCACGGAGGAGGGAACTCGGGTCAGGAGACGGGACATTTGCAT